TTGGCAATAGGTACTATCAGGGCACCCTAACCGCCCGGCGCGCAACTCTAGCGCGTGTCCATCGCGCGCGTGGAGAGATGACAACCTTATCGCGCGCATGGCGTCAAGGGAGCCCTTGCTCGCTGCCTGCTATGCGCAGTCGTCTCCTTCGCAAGTTTCCTTCTTCACGCAGAATCTCGCACGGAAACTGTGGGATGACACAGCGTGTAGATGGGATTATGAACATAAAGCTGTACAACGAGCATAAATTATTTTACATATACATATAACATGCAACAGTGACGCTTTCATTTTGTTTTCTATTTATATTAAACTGAAAGAATAAAAAAAAACTGGGGCTATTTGCCTAGCATCTGGTGCGCTTGAGAAAGGGGTAAATTTGCTCGCCCTTGCACTTCTGTCAGAACGATTGCAGGACGTCGTCAGGGCCCGAGTTCCAGGAGCGGACAGATAGAAGATCATTGAGTTTGCTCAGAAAGGGCAGTCGCAGCGGGCCATCGGAGCTCTCGTAAACAGGCCTCCGAAGACGGTTAACCGCATCGTTCAAGAATATAGGTATCAAGGTCGGATCCACGATGCACCTCGAGGGTGTCCACCAAAAGTGACGACTGAGGACGAAGACCATTTCATCGTCGCTGCTACCGTCAAAGACCCCTTCCTTTCGGTCAGAGAATTTTGAGAGCACCTTGAATTGGACCTTTCAGACGCGACAGCTTGTCTCAGATTGAGGGGCGCCTGTCTGCATCGCGCCATTGCAGCGCAGAAGCACCTACTCACAGCTTCAAAAAAGAGGCGAGGCTTATTTTTTCAGTTGGCAACGCGTTGTGGACGGCGGATGACTGGGGCCAAGTTGTCTCCTAGAATGACTCAACGTTCTCCACGAGGTATTATCATAGAGCGCATGTGGCGACCTCGCACTGCATGGTAAGTCTTATTAATAAACGGACTCTTGTAAATCTTGTAAATTATTTTTATTATGAAATGTTTCGTCCTTCGTTTGCGTTCTCGCTACGCGCTCGGTATCTTGTGAGTTGCAATTTCGTTTCGTAAAAGGCTGTTTTCTTAACTGGTAAATGTTTTGTTATGTTTCACCTGTATTGTTTCTTAATGAAAGCTAATTTCAATACTGCTGTTTTTATACTCGGGGCTCACCTGTCTGCTTGTGATCTTCTTCAGTCTTCGCTCCTCAATTTTCTCCCCATCTCTATGCTCTGCTGGACAGCTAGCTAGACAGTGCACGCTGCACAACTAAAGTCGATAGGTTTCTGCAGGAACGATCCTGTCTAGGTGCCGCGCGTCGCAGGGGAGCGGAAGGACATTCGTCAACGATTGGGACGCCATTTCCGAACACGGCCTCAATCCTCCGCACCCCTTCGTCGGGAGGCTGACGTCGACCCGATACCTCGACGTGGTGGGCACTGTGCTCCTACCCCGTTTGCGCAGTGGCCTTTTTCCGGACAGCAGGACCTCGCTACTATTCACAAGGCGTGCCTCGAGAAGGGCCACTTACGTCAGTGTGACATAGAGGAGTCAACCTGGGTCCCCAAAAGTGCAGACCTCAATATTGTTGAGAACGTGTGGGCCCGTATATAAACGGTCATGGTGCGGACGCCAAATTGTTTGGCAACAGCAGTTCGGTTATGGTCGCAGCTCAAGCAGAATGGGCACGCCTCAGAGGCAGACGCACCTTTTGTGTCTTCTCTTGAGGAATCGCTGGCCTTCCAGTATGGAAGCTGTCATCAACGTAAACGGGGAAATGACTCGCTTTTGAGTTCACTCGCAAGGACTCTCTAGATTTTAGGGGGGGGGGGGGGGGGTGTTTTTTAACTGCGCAGACAGGAGCTTTGTGAGTTTTTATTCAATCTTGCTTTAAGATTAAAGTTTGCATTGTTGTTGTTGTCTTTTTGGCACTCGGTGCGGAATCTTGCTTCTGGGCAAACAACGCGAACGTGAGCACCTTACAGCACACAATGCACATCCAAGTTTCGCGGGCCCCAAGGCAATAATAATGCGGAAGGCGACAGCCACAAGTTAGAGAAGCATTTATTGACCTCAAGACCACATTCCTGGGGCTGACGCGCCTCCCGACGCTGCATCTTGTTGTCACGTCTTGAGCTGGCACTAATCTGCACGGGAGGCGGTAGCGGCAAAGCTAGCGCTGACTGGCGCAATAGAATCGATAAACAGGCCAATTGCTTCTTTGTTTAACCAAATACTGAAAATAGCCAAGGAGCAGCAGAGGCGTACACTGATGCAGCCTTGATCTGGCAGTTCACTGCCCTTTTACAATGCCAAACTCTTCAATAGTTGCGGTATAACGCTGGCAGCAGACGCCATGTGTAGCAGACGACGCGCGCGCGCAGGGATGATGCGAGGCCGCACGGTGAAATATCTTTCTCGTCGCTTGGGCGATGCGGATGTGCTGCAGGTGCGCGCCGGGCGGTTAGGGTGCTCTGATAGCACCTGATGCCACGCGCTCCCGCCTTCCCTTTAAGTGCGACTAATAGCGAGTTCGTTTCAGACGCACTGGCACCGTTCGAGTTCTCTCCCAGAATGCATCGCACACGCGGAGTGTCGCACAGAGAATTGTCCTCAAACAAACTTGCCAAATGCACCGAGTGCAGAAGACTGATGCTGTCGCCATCTATGTTGTAGAAAGAGTACCGATTTCAAAAGGAAACTAGTGCCTTTTTGTTCGACGTGAGGGGTGAGAATGCGAGAGTGCATTCGCTGCCAAGGTTTAAATATAAACGCTGGTCGCTGCAATCTGTAGTTTATATATGCGATGACTTCAAACGACTCGGATGTCGTAAAGATATTTAGAGACGGCGTAAATTTTCGCAACCAGCTGACTACAAAGTAGCTCGTAGCGATCTTTCAATTCTTATAACCGTTTATACTGGAGAAAACTGATGATGCAGTCCGCGCAGAAGTTTGATTCGTTTGAGCATGGTATTATGCGTGAACCACTGAAAGGGTACGGCTTAAAACTAGTCTGTTGGAATAGTCAGCAAAACGTTTGGATGGATATTCGATTCCGATTGTCGTTTAAGGTCGATCTGATTTTAACCTTGGTGAGGTCGTCGCGAACGAGAGCTTTCTCAAACAAATACGACGGGGCAAGATAGCTGACGTAGGTAAATGTTAAACATGATGATGTTGCCCACGCCTCGGGTGAAGTCACTATATTTAGCTTTCTCGAATGCTTTTTGGGCAGTCACAGGTTTCTACTGGGTAGCTTTGTCGACAAATGTTCAATCTTTTACCCGCTCACGGATGGTGATAAAGATATCGGGCGCCACTCATGCGTTTGTCCTGAGCACTTAGTTACATCCGGGTATATTTCCCTCGTACAGGGTTCGTCTGTACGGCAACAGAGCGAATAAAAACTTGCAAATAAAGCACGAGTTGTCAATTGCTTCCTTTATGAAATAGCAGACGCTCATAATTCAAGCTCGCGTTTAATTTGGTTGCCCGCGCGACACGATTTCTATAAAACAAATTACTTTTTTTCCTTTCGGTTCCGCTGTACGAATGACGCATCGTAGCAGACGAACCCTCGTCGTCTGCTCCCGCTCCTCGCCGGCCTCGCCGGAGCGAGGCATGACGAGATTGCATTTTGGCGCACTCTCGATTTTCTTGGTGCAGCGAGTGCATGCACGCGTGGGGTGCCGCCGCTGAAACGAACTCGGAGAGTGCAACCACGCGTGAAGTGCCGGCCGAAACGAACCCGCTTCACGCTGCGAGTGGGTACGCGTGGGCACGAGTGCCGTGAAACGAACTCGCTATAAGATAATATTACATGATACGTAATCTGTTTTCGGGGCTTAGCGTGTGCACATGAAACTCGCTTCGTTGTCACTCTCGTGTATTTGCAGTAGTAGACTGCGTGTGTTTGTACACCTTTCTGTTTCTGTGTACTGATATTCTTGTTGCGACACATGCCGCAGCGGTCCGCAAGGTGATTGCGCTCTGCGTACACAAGTATTTGGCAACCATTCTAAATTACTGTATACTTAATGAAAGGGCAAGAACGGCAGTGAGGTCCTTCAGCTGCCCGCCTCCAGGGCGAGTTTTCCTACTTTTGATGACACTTCAGCGTCTCGTAAGCCTCGAGCGTACACGCGCAGCCAAAACATGGCGAAGGCAACGAGCTCCTACTAGAGACGGGCATCTAAAGGAGACGTCCTGCCGTTCCAATCCTGCCAATGACTATACTAACAAATCGGTTGTTCCGATAACCAACGCGTGACAAAGCTTCGCATTACTCGTTGCGTCGAAGCGCAAACTCGCGCCGTTTGTGAGTGCCCCAATCTTTCGAGGGACAGAAACGTTTCCATTAATTATGAATAAGAAAACAAAATATGACGTCCATTTATCTCGGTCCTCCTTGCATGAAAAATATAAATAATTTGTGACTCCAAAGCGACACGAACGCGACACGCCTGGGAAGAAAGACAAAACCCGAAACGACGGGATGACCGCGCGAGTGATCGTTCCTTTCCCAAAGCGTCCGTCTGTCCCATCGGTTTTCTCGCGTTCCGTCGGCGTGTTCCCCGAGCGTTTCGGGCCGAATACCCCGAATAGCCGTTTCCATTTTTCGCGTGACCCCAGAGGCACCTGACCCAATTCGCCGGTTAAGTGCGCTGTTGACAGGGGAGCCGCCGCGGGGACGCCCTGAGAAAGACGAGGCGCGAGCGAGGCCTGCCTGCCTGCGAGAGTATGCACACACCACGTCGCGAAGGTTGAGGAGGGGGCGACGGGGCTACCGATACCCCCGTAGGGGGCACGGAAAAAAGAAAAAAGGACCGACTCGATAGGCACCCGAAAAAGCGAGTAGCGTGGCGAGAAACAAAGACAGGTAAAAGGACGGGAGTAGTACGGCTCCCTCGGCAGCCTGGGAATCCTCACCGGCTGTCAGCAAACAGAGCATCTATACCGACTCCCTCCGGCCGCCATATATAAGCGCACGAGGGTGGTGTCGCCGCGGATTCGAATGTAGGAGTGACGCGCCTCGTAGTCCCTGCTCGTGCACGCGGCTGCGTCGACAATGGCGACGCTCTCTTGCGCAGTAAGTACCGGTTCGCCTGCTGCGCCTTGCCTCTAACAACACGGGGATGTGTTACATTAGGCCCGGCAGAATATTTAGTAATTTAAAACTAAGAAGTAAAGTTATTTCGTTATGTTAGATGGGGCGCAATGTGCGTAGAGCATGAGCACCTAGTGAGAGAACAGAAAAACTGAGGCTGGAGTAACACCGGAAACAAAACATGCACCTGGCTGTGTGTGTACTGCGCGCCATCTTTCTTCAGTCTTAAATCGTTCTTTTTTATTAATGATGATGAATATTTGCCAGCAGCTAAGGTTCTGGCCACGCTAGTGTCTGCAATTTTAGTTCGTCAAAAGCATCACAGACTCCAAGTCTCCCCCAGATTGTGCTTATTTAATTGAGGAAAACAACGCGAAATATACGACATACGAAAAACGAGAGCTGACAAGAGCGTGGTTGGTCTTCTGAATTCTCGTTCTTCGTCCGTCGTAATTTTTCGCGCTGTTTGTCGCTGAGCACACATATCAACAGCCCAACTTTCGATACAGTCTTGTAGATATGTCGTTTGATCCATCATAAATATATTGCTGCACCAGTCTTTGACTATATTTATTTTTTGTTGCACATGATGGGCTAGCGTACCTAATCTCAGCCCTAATCGCTTGATCCTCTGAAGGATATTCCTGATTTTCGCCTTATGTAAAGTACTATAAGTGCCTATTACATGTTCCATACGTGATGCCCTAATGCAAGCAGGTGTTAAGAAGCGATCATATTTTAGTTAATTTTCGAACACGGCATATTTGTTTCCTTTTGTGCTTTGCTGAATTCGTATACATACACTACTGTTTAAATTATATTAAAAAGCGGAAAACGCGAAACCTCTAATCCCAACATTCTAAATATGAAATTACTGCCTCGTCATTTATTGCACTGATATGTTGGTTCTGTACTATTTTTGTATATGTAAAACTATCCTTTCGCAACTTGACTAACTCCGCATTTAAAATCGTCATCAGTAAATTGCGCTTTATCGTCCTAAGCTCCCACCCTAAACAGTACTTTGTTAACATGGAAACATACTAAATAAGCAAGAAGTGAGAGAGTGCAGGCCATCTGGTTCGGACACGACATACTTGTAAACCTTGTTGTCTTCGTCCATTTTTTTTCTTCTTTAAGGTTTACAAATATGTAAATAAGCAAAGTGGCAAAAAAAGCAAAACATGTCTTCTCCGCACAGATTTTTTTGGCAGCCGCAGCCACGGCGACTGCCACGATCCACTGCCATGTACACTCTCTCAAGGGCGGTGGTTCTGGTGGAGCACCGATTTTCGCCGGACCCGGTATCGGCTCCGGTGGCATCGGCCCCGGCATTGGCCACGGACCCGTCCACCACGCATCCGGAGCCGGAATAGGCTCTGGCTTCGGACCAGGCTATGGCCCAGGCTTCGGACCAGGCTTCGGCCCAGCCTTCGGACCTGGTGTCGGCCCTTCTCTTGGACCAGGAGTAGGAGCGGGAATCGGAGCGGGCGTTGGACACGCCGTCGCCCACAGTGGCGGCTTCAAAGGCGGCTTTGGTGGCAGCTACTCGGGCGGCTACAGAAGTGGCTTCTCGGGAGGCGGCTTCGGAGGTGGCGTCTACCCGGTGGGTCCTGGCTTCGGAGGAGGCTTGGCTCCTGCCAGCTTCGCTCCCGTGAACTTCCGGCCCGGAGCGCCCACCTTCATTCCCGGAGGAGCGACCAAGGTGATTCTGGTCAAGGTGAAGCATCTAGGCACGACAACGCATCCAGGAGGCTTCGGCCCCGGACCTTCGGGACCCTTCGGAGCAGGACCCCTCGGTCACGGCGGCGGCGGAGTGGTGCCTGGTGCACCTTTCGGCGGAGGCTTCGGAGGTGGACAACACGGTGGGGGCTTCGGAGGACTCAAAGGCGGCAAAGGATGGTGGTGAAAGACGTCTTCACCGTATCATAGGGTGAGCAGGAGGGAACGCGCTGTGTGATTAGGTTGTCGAGTAAACTGGGAATGCGTAATTGCCAGAATGATGAAATAATTTCCATTTACTAATTGCAAGCACACCTATATACAACATGCAGGTGACGCCGTCGCATCCTGCTGGTGGTCATTCCTATATACTTGTCCTTGGATAGAGACACAAATTCGATTATACAAAATGTGTGCTGCAAAGGATACGCGCTAAGCAACAAGGACCCCATAATGGCTGCTGGTGTGACGTCAGTGCAAACCACGTATATCTACGCGTGGCGTACATAACCGCCGTCAGTACTGTGTGCGAGCTTAAAACGAATACATTTGCAATATATTCTTGCGTGAATTGCAGCAACACCATTTCCACCAGAAAAAACAAAAACACCTAAAGAAATGAAGTCAGAATGTGAAGCTCCGTGCTTGAAACAAGTCGTGAAGCAAGGTAACTCTGAAGGCGTGTACTGGTACAATGCGAACTCTTGTAGCTAAGATACATATGTACGCAGTGCGAGATGAGTAACACGCTTGGTTGGTTTTTCTTCACTCCACCCTATGCAAAACAAAAAAGATAAATCGCTCAAGCAAATCAAGTTGTGGCTCCAGTTCCACAGTGCTCATAGTGCATGCCGAAGGGCGCAAGGCGATACCTGTGATAGCTAGCAGTGAAGTAAGTAGTCGTAATTCTGTCTGGCCTTCAGCTCGTCGTTTTCTTTGTTAGCCTTGTATATAATAAATATGCAATTGCTGAATTTATAACAATCAGAAATAAGTTTTACTGAAGAAGGTAGGATTTCATTCAAAACTCTTAAAGAGCAATTTTCTTAAGCCTTCAAGTTTAAGATTCTAATAGCGTTTATTTCGCAGTTCAACTTGCAGTGATAATGTCAAGCTTCAAGTTTAAACGAGAACCTGTAAGCCATGGTTCATATATTGAGTGAGAAAATCTTTTATCACTCCTTTATATATGATTGCCCTCCGACACGCGTCCCGGTTACATCATTCTGTTGAACCACATTCTATTTAGAATATACGACTCTTACTGCTCCACAAAGCTTAAAGGTAAATTGAAGTTTTGAGGGCCAACGTGCCCAACCAAGCGTGTCTGGTACGTCAAGGAGAAGGAATGACGATTAATTTAGACAAACGGGTAAGATAACCGAAATCTCAGTTATATGGCACTAGTGTTACACTCAGCCTCTGTCAGATGACGGGTAGCTTGACCAGGACTCATCAAGCACAGGTTATAGGGCTGGTGGCATAAGTGGGGGGAAGAATAATGTTTTGCTATTTTTTTTCCTTCCAATCATTAGGGCGGCGAGTTCGCTCCAGGTTGCAAAGAGGCCCCACTGTCACACGGATTGTAACTTTCGATTGTGGAGAACGGTAAATGAATGCTCGTTGTTATACTCCGTTCACCCTTAAGCTGAGACTAGAAGCTCCGCCTCCAGCGCGAGCTCGGTTGCTCCCGCAGTGTTATGGTTGCGCGTGTCAGCGCATTCACATTTATGCTAGAAAGGGCAGAAAGACGCGCTAAAGACGAAGCTTCTAGCCTCAGCTTAAGGGTGAACGGAGTATAGTAGCTATATGTGATTCTTTACCATGCTCTATTAATTCCTAACTTAAAAGTATACCGTTAAAGTCTTAAGCATACTGTTTTTTTTTTTTTTTTGCACTGTTCTTTTAGTTGGAATTTAGTTAATTGTTGAAATAAAAGCTTTGGCTAGGTGGCTCAAGCCGTCGTCCAATCAAAAGGGTTCAGGCCCGTTCCTCTATTGATCCATACAATTGGAACTCACCAAGTGAACATTCCTAAGCAGCCACGTTGCTTCACAGACTGCCAGGCTGCTTTGAGAACGGTACATTGGAATGATGCTGAAAAATAAACTCGGTCTGGAGCTCCAGGTAAATTAAACTGATTATTTGTACTCCTGAGAATCGCTAGTGTTTCTCAGCGCTTGTCAGAACAAGAAGCTATCGCATTATCGTTGTCCTAACTAGCAATAGCATCATTATCCTTTATTTTCTTCGAGGGCTCATGAGGGAATTATATAACGGAGTGGAATCAATACATAAAAATACTATTACAAATAAACACAGCAATACGCTTTGTAAACCAGCGGTGTTCGTTAGAACGAATGAGGGTTGTAGCTCCCACAAATGTATTAAAGTCATTTCAGCAGTCCGATCGGCTAACGACCTCCAGTTGGTAATAACCAATGGTAATAAGACATCTGGTAAGAGACCATTTGCAGTGAAATGGGACATCAATTTTGTAAAGGGTCTAAAAAAGGAAATCTTTATCAGGACTATTAAGTGTTCGCAGGCATCGCCGATATCTGTGGAGTACGCAGATACCCTTGGATCAATACTCTGGTTTACATATTCTTGAAATCTAAAAAATATATCATCAATAAAAAGACAAACGATCGTCTGTGCATTTATATAAACCACAGATCACACGCCTCTGCCAGTTTCATGCGATGCACGCAAAAAGGAAACTCTTTGCGTACATTACTATGCCGTACGACGACAGGTTTCTTTGTATCATCATGATGTCCAATATCATGGCATCAATAATTCAACGCGAAAAAAACATCCAGCTTGATCACACAGCTTTATTCAAGCATGAGTTGAGGAAAAGAGACAAATGTTCTGCAGCAAGTCAGATTTCAAAACCAATACGGAAAAGAGCAAACCAACGTCCGGAGCACTTTCCGCCCTCCAATCGTTATAATGAGAGGTTTGGTCAGCCTCGTTCCTCACAGGTCAAAGACACGAAGGAGTCCTACATTACAATGCCAGTCCACAACCGCTAGTCTTCGTCCTGGCGATTGCAGTCCCACATTTCCACCAGATGAATGCTTCGGGCCTGACAGAACCGACACCCACCCATCACGGTGCGCACTCATACCCCATCACTCGCGCAGAAACGGCTCCCCTAAAGAGGTATATCCGGGGCTCAGAACAGCTTCTAAGTGAGCTGAAGATCGCAAAGGATGCTATACGAGCCATTGCAGCCAATCCAATGCTGTGTGGCAGTCGCGTAACTAGTCACGTGATTTCTTTGCAGCTCTGGATTGGCTGGCGTGACACGTAGCGTCCGCTGCGGCTCATCGTAACGTGAGACGAAGAATGGACCAATCATAGAGTTATAATAATGTACGTCATGAGCTTCAGCTGGCGATATGCTGTGGAAAATTGAAGGAGAAAGGAGGCCAGTCGGAAATAGACTTCCGGTAATGCATTCCTATGGGAAAACGCAGGGGCATTTTCTCCCTGCATTCAATTATAATAGTAAATATTACGAGCACTTCGAGCGTACTAGGTAGATTGGAACATTGCTCAGTCAGGCAAATTAAATAATTGGACAGTTAAGGCCTTTTTATTTTAAATTAATTGCCTTAAAAAGTACTAAAATGGCCCTTGTACATGTATTTATGTGCACTGTCGGACACTGTTAGCGCGAACATGGCGTTGGTGTATTCCAGTATGCGGTATATACGGGTCAAATGAACGAAGGTCATGTGGAAAACCAAGAGAGACGGCAAGAACTACGCAGTAACGCTGGATCAGCAACTTGTTGTGCACGATGACGGTCAAAATAAATTGAAGGGGATGAGGACGATTCGTCCCATGCGCACTCGTCACAGGACGATTGGTCACAGGACGATTCGTCACATAGGAACATTCGTCACAGGATGACTCGTCATGCGGGCAACTGGTCACATCGACCGGGCAGGGTACGATAGTGAATCACAAATTTCAACAACTACCCACGTTCGCTGATGAGGAGTTTCACGACTTCCCACTTTCACATAAACTAATGGCTAGGAAAACTAATCTTACAATACTCCTCCGCTTTTACATTCATTATATTACGAGGCTTCAGCAGGTTGATCTCAGTTGCTGGCTTGAACGAGCAATAATCCGACTGGCAGCCAAATCAGTTGTTACTTTTGCCTTGCATACCCCCATTCGACAAAATCAATAAGTATCGGAATTCTTTCTGCTGCATGTGTACGAGTACCCCTCGTGCAGCTGCATGGCTCCACCTCTCTCTGTTGCGATCACCTCCATCCTTTTGAATGTAGTCCGAGTTCAAAAATAGTCGCTCTTATATGGCCTCCGCTTTCACCGCTCGGGACGGACCCAGAAGCTAAAACGTCTGTTACAAATTCTTTGACCTTGAGAAGCGAAATACATGCTAAGATAAGAGGTGACCCACTTTCTGAGGCCGAACCAACATTCAATGTTCGCGACCGAACAAGAAGCTAAAACGTTTGTTACAAATTGATAGGATGGATGCTTGGGCGAGTTGGTAAACCATACCTGGCGGTGACAGCGCAGGGAAAACCAATCTCACACCAGACACTCAGCGCGTGTTGTCTTCCTGAGTGTCTGGTGTGAGATTGGTTTTCCCTGCGCTGTCACCGTCAAGTTTGTTACAAATTCTTCGCCTTTCAGAGGCTATAAAGTTAACACATACTAAGATATAAGGTGAGCCACTTTGTCCGCCCGAACCAAATTGAGCAATACATTTTTGGGGGGACGAACTATCGTGGGACCGGTTGGCCGCGTGACGAGTCATCCTATGACGAATGTTCCTGTGTGACGAACCGTCCTGTGACCAATCGTCCTGTGACGAGTGCGCATGTGACGAATGGACCGTATCCCAAATTGAAGGCCACGTAATCGGTTTGCAAAAAAAATAATAATAAATAAGTACTGCTTTATTTTTTCTGCACATGAATATGTGCGAAGATGCTTCTTCTGCGCTAAAAACATCACACGCATGTTCGAAATCTTTTAAAATAAGAAGCCGGAGGAAAGGTGCCCTATAAAAGCTTCCCGAGATAGGAAATAATAAAAAGACACAGTTTGCATAGCCCACATACTTTATTATTCACGTTTCAGATGTTTTTAATCGCTCGTAAAGATGCACGACGGGGTCATTTTCCTACAGTGACATGGTGGGCATATGAGCAA